AGGGAACTTGGTGACCACAGCGATCTTGTATTACTTGAAGTAATGGCGAGCTTTATGCGACGTGACCGTAATGGCGATATATGCTTTTCCGAACTTGAGGGTAACGAGTTTTGGACTCATTAAGAACCTCATTGATGAAGTATACCGAACGTTGTACCTTATAGGCGTGTCCAACTTCCTCGTGCTCGACGACGATAGCTGTGCTAACGACGCAAGAAGTGGCGGCGATGCAGATCAATAGGGTTTTGTCTGGTTGAGGCACCGTCATGATCGGGGGTTTCGTTAAAAACAACTTGAGCTGCTTGAAAGCCGTATCAACCTCCTCCGACCAGGAGAAGCGCTCGGAGGCCTTGAGTAGTTTGAAGAACGGTAGTCCCTTTTCACCGAGGCATGATATAAAGAGGCTGAGAGCAGCCATGCACCCTATTTGCTTCTGTATATCCTTTATGTAGGTCGGCCATTTCATATTGGTAATGGCGAAGACCTTGTCGGGGTTGGGTTCGATACCGCGGGCGCTGATGATGTAGCCCAGGTATGCCGGATGGAACTCCAAAGATGCACTTTGAAGGGTTCAACTTCCATCTGTATCTTTTTAGGTTGGCGAACGTTTCTTCGAGGTCGGTGATGAGACTGTCAGTGGTTTTGGATTTGACAACCACATCATTGATGTAAGCTTCGACGTTGCGGCCTATTTGTTGATCAAGGCACATCTAGATGGCCCTTTGGTAGGTCGCCCCAGTGTTTTTGAGTCTAAAGAACATGATGGCATAGCAATACGCACCGGAAGGTGTGATGAACGACGTTTTGATCTGGTCGTCCTCTTTGAGGGATATCTGGTGATAGCCGGAGTAACAGTCGAGGAAGGAGAGGAGTTCGTAGTCAGCGGTGGAGTCTACAACCTCGTCTATCTGAGGCAGACCGAAGGGGTCTTTAGGGCAGTGTTTGTTGAGATCAGTGTAATCAACACACATTCTCCATTCTTTATTCTTCTCTTGAACAAGGACTGGGTTTGCTAGTCACTCAGGATGATACACTTCCTTAATAAATCCGACTGCTAGGAGCTATTTTATTTGTACCCTAATAGCCTCCTTGTCTGGCGTGAATCGTTGGAGCTTCTACTTGATCAGTTTGGCGGTCGGTGAGACATTCAAGGAGTGCTCAATCTTCTCCCATGGTACCCTGGCATGTCTGCAGGTTTCCAAGCAAACATGTTAGTGTTGGCACATAGGAAGGAGACGAGAGCGCTTTCCAATTTGGGGTCGAGATGAGCCCCAATCTTGACGGTCTTGGTGGGGTCATCAAGGCCGAGGCCGACCTCCTTCGTTTTCTTAGACTTGTCAGAGGCACATGGATGCTCTAGCGCTGGGATCTCCAGGTCATCGGCGGGCGCCGTCTTGGCATCGTTGACCATGCTGGCCATCTAGATGGAGAGGTCAGTGGCTTCAGTGAGGGAGAGACTCTCTATTTCGTAGGCGTAGGCGATGGAGAGGTTGGCCCGTAGAGCCAGACCTCCTGCAGGTGAAGGCATCTTCAATACTAGATACACGTAGTGCGGTATGGCCATGAACTTAGCCATAGCTAGCCGACCAAGTATGGTGTGGTAGGTGGTGTTGAAGTCGGCGACATAGAAGTTGATGCGCTCGACGCGGAATTTGCTAGCCGTGCCGAATTGTACCGGGAGGGTGATCTCTCCAAGCGGTCGTGACGCCCTGCCAGGTACCACACCCCAAAAGGAGGAGTCGGAGGGAGTAAGGTCTTCTACTCCAAGGCCTAGCTCCTTTAGGGCTCCGGCGAAGAGGAGGTTCAGGGCGCTTCCGTCATCGATGAGTACTTTCCTAAAGAGTACTTTCTTGACGGTTGCATCGAGAACGAGGGGGAAATGCCCTGTGTAAGGGATGTCCGCCCACTGGTTAGCACTGCTGAAGGTGATAGGGACCTCAGACCAGGGACGATAGCTAGGGTCGGTGATAGCGTCTTGTGTGTCGACGGCGAGCACCCGGCGGGCGGTGAGTTTTCGATCTCTTCTGCTCTCAGCGGCGGCGAGGCCCCCGAAGATAGTGGCGACCACTTTGTCATGATCCTGGAAGGCGTTATTGTTGTCCCCAGGTAGTCGGTGACCTCTGGCTCCATCGTTGTTGTTGTCGTCCTTCTTTTTGCCCTAGAATTCCTTAGCCAAGCCAAGGCAGTCCTTCATCTTGTGCTTGTTGTTCTTGTGGAGGGGGCACGTGCCTTCAAGGATTTTCTTGTACTGCTTGTCGTAGTTACGCTTGGTGCGAGGTTCATCAACGGCGGCGACGATGTTGTCTGGTCGGCGGCGGCGATATTGACCAGCTTTGGACCCCTCCGGCCGATCGCGGCTACTGTCCCGATGGTGACCGCGGTCGTCGTAGCGGCGGTGACTATGGCGTCGTTCGTTGGGGTGCTCGTCGCTGCGGCGAGTTGAGCGGTGAGTGCCCGCATCCTTGTTGAAGCGAACTTCGGCCTCTTCAGCGTCGGCGTATTGATCAGCGGTCGTGATCATCTCGCCAATCCCCTTTGGCGGCATACGATTGAATTTAGAGCGGAGGTCACGGTGATGGCGTCCTCGGACAACGGCAGTGATGACTTCTACTTCCGTGATGTTGGGAATAGAATTCCTCATATCGGGAAAACGTATGATGTAGCTATGGAGGAGCTTGGACGGTTTCTGATAGATGCGATTCAGATCATGCTTGGTGCTCGGCCGAGTACACGTAGCTATGTAATTGTCGGTGAAGACCTTCTTCAACTATTCCCAAGATCCGATGGAATCGGGGCGAGGCTCGTGAGCCGGTTCATTGCGGTTGGCGTGAGCATGATGGGAAGATAGTTTGCCATGACACTGGTATCTCCCCCGATGGCGCGCACAGCGGTGGCATAAGCTTGTAGCCACTGTGTGGGGTTCATTCGGCCCTCGTAGGGCTTGACCCCGGTGATTTTAAAACCACGGGGCCACTGGAGTGTTTGGAGTGCTCTTGTGAATGCTCAGGGCCCTTCGAGATCGTCACCGTCGGGATCGGCAGCGTTGCCGGCGTTAAGTGGCTGGAGGGCAGCATCCAGATTACCGAACTCTTGCTCGTATTCTTGAAGCTAGCGAATTTCCTCCTCATGTCGAGAGAAACGGCGCCCATCGATATGATGCCATGCATCCCGGAGGTTGTTGATGTGTGCTCGGACATCTTGGTCGACTTCTTTGGTTGTGTTGGCGAGGGTAGTTGATATGGTTCCCCCTAGCTCCCTCCTAGAGGGGTTGTCCATCATCACGATGTTGATCGGCAAAACAGCTTCTGCCGGGGCGGCGATTGGATCTTTGCACGGCGGATCGGCGATTTGAGCTTGTCAAGTAGGAGGGTCCCTGATCCTAGCGGATCTCGTTGATCTGGCAGTGCGCAGCTTTAAGCATTGTGGTGAGCTTGGCGACCTCTAGCGTTTGCTCGAGCCGAGCGAGCTCATTAGCGGCCACGACCAAGTTGGCACTTGGGGTCTTGTAGACATCATGGCCATTGACACGGACGAATTCGTCGTCAAGGTTGCGGTGGAGTGGGCGTGGCCTCCCTTGCGAGTCGAGTTGTTCTCCGTTGCGAGCAGCCTTGGCTAGCACAATGGCGGCCTCATTCGCTCGGCGCTGCGCACGGTTGGCGTTTCTGTTGACATGAGCTACGCGGTCCTCATTGGTTTCTCCATCCAGCGGAGGGTTGTCGATGCTGACATTAAAAATCCCACCTCCACGGAAGGGTGGGAAAGGAGGTTGGACGGCAGCGGTTTCGACGACAGTCTCCGTAGAGCCCTAGGACTTGAAGTCTAGATTTTCCTCTAGGATGGTGTGGAGGGATGCTTCGGGACGTCAGCCGATTTGCAGCATATTGACAGTCGGCGAGAGCTGGTCGGCGATCTGGTCGGCGAGAGGATAGATATCTCCCACCTAGTCGGTGAATTTGCCCCTTATGGCATCTTGATGGATGGCGGCCGTAACCCCTGGAGTTTTCTGATCAGCCTCCGATAGATCGGAATCGGAGGGTGGTCGGCGCTGAACCAGAGTGGTCAGAGCCGATTTCGCGAGGGAGAGGCAGTCGGCGAGCTTCTGGCCAGCCTGATCGATGGATGCGATCAGATCGTCGTTGCTGATCTGCTTCCTCGGGTAGCGGGGGAGCAGGCGGCGAGTTGTTGATGAAGACAACCTCGGAGGCGGTTCCGAGATTGGATCTGCCGTTGCAGGTGTTGGTGTGGTTGGCGCAGAATTGATCTCTCCGTCTCCGTCAGCATTGATGACCCAAGAGATTGATCCGACCGTAAAGATTTGGCCAGGCTTTGGGAAGGACGAAAAGCCTGTAAAATGTATCATCTTGTTCGTCATGGAAACAGCACGCACACCCCTACCTGGCGCGCCATCTGCTGACAGAATATCGTCGGCAGTCCTTCGAGAGGTATCCCATGAAGGTAGATTGATCGGCAGAGGTGCGCGTAATCAAGAACAAGAATGCAACAGAGACACAAGAGTTAGACAGGTTCGGGCCGTCCGCACGACGTAATACCCTACTCCTGTGGTCTATTGGTTTGTATTGACTATCGTATGATATTGCGTGTGTTTTGAGAGGGTCCCCTACCCGCCTTATATAGCCGGGGGTAGGGTTACAAGTCGGTTAGATCTAGAAAATTACCGGTAAGTAATAACAGATTACAGGAAACACGGGATCGAGCATATCCTAACAGATCTCGTAGCATCTTCAGGATATCGCCCTTGACGTCTTGCGGTACACGCCGAGCAGTACCGTGCACCATAAGTCTTCGTCTTGTGGGCTGGACCACCCCTGACGGCGCAGCCCATGTAGTCTATCGTGGGTATCCGGGGTCGTACCCCCATAGTAAGACTTGCCACTGACACCCTTCCCCAGACCCCGTACAGAGTGGGAGCTCTCTGCACAGGGTATGTCCTTTTTTTTTGTCTCCATACTAATGTTTTGATGTTTTATTATGTCTGGCAGGACGATGCTCATATCTTCTGCAGAGAGGACCAAGTTTTATTTGCGTAGACCATGCTTGTTTACTATCCTCTAGAATAGAATGAATCGTGTTGTACTTCCCTTAGTAATCAGGACACTGTATAATCTACATAAAGTGTATGCTGTTATGATAATTACTTTTACATGCTTAACACCAGCACCATGTATACATTCTAATTTGCATTAGCAAGTTGTAATTTATATTTACTGTTTCTTCCTTTTCTCTGATAGTATACGTACTCCTACCTTTTTTTAATAGTTTGTTTTGTTGCAGATCAAGGATGAGGTTAAGGCTGTTTTGGAATTCATCAATTATGTTTACGAGATATTTGGCTTCAAATATGAGTTGGAGTTGTCTACGGTATTCTTCTGTTCTTTTTATCTTCTATACTGATGGCATTTCTGATACGAACCATAATCTATGCTTAGCAATTGGCATGAAATGATGACACTTTGGGGGCTGCTAGTTGCAGCTGTAGTATGCAGGATGAACTGCTTAACAATCACCTCTATGGACAGCCTTGTTTCCTTTTCCTTTTTGCTTTCTTATACTTATTATACTTGTGTGCTAACCACTGAGAACTCGAATCACAAGATCACCACTGAATCTGTGATGTTTATGTAGTTATATGGGCATGTTATCACATACTTATTTTTCAGAATCATTATAAAATCTGGGCAGTCACAATAATATTTGTTTGCTAGTTTCTTGTTATTATCTCACTGGAATATATTTAGATAATGTAGTTTACGTTCTTGCTTTTTTTGAACTTGGAATCGGTAAAGTTCATGACAAGATCTCGCAATCTCTCTTCTAGCATTTGATGTTCCGCATGTCTCCCTGACTCATTAATTCCAAACAGCCTTATTGGATTGATATATCGTCTTATGGTGATCCAAAAGACCAATTCTTTGAATAACTAATGAGAGTTTACATGCTACATTGTTACTGCCATTGCTTTTGCATCCTTGGTACTTTCCATTTTCGTATATTTGGGGCAAAATGCTAAGATTTAATGAATTATCTGAGCTTCAAAAGATATAACCTTGTGACAGTTTGATTGTCCTTAGTTAATACTCTAACCTGATCATGATGCCATTTTCCAGAGACCAGAGAAGTATTTAGGTGAAATTGAAACTTGGAGCAAAGCAGAGCAACAATTGACAGAAGCCTTGAATGAGTTTGGGAAGCCGTGGAAGGTACCTCCACAAACACTATGATAGCTCTTTTTCCTTTGATGTTCCCATGCCTTTATGATGCTAGATTGCTAGACTAGATTTGCATTTGTACACGATATTCAGTATTTTTGGTGCAGTTAAAAGGGCTTTCACTCAATTATTCTGTCATTGTTAAATGTACCTGCATCGGCTCTGACTAAAATCACAGGATTTTGAGTCCTTGTGACAATCATTCCTGTTGCTCAATGAGGAAGTGCATAATACATTTTGCAACATTGTTCTGCCATGACATTGCCTTGCATTCAGAGGACTTATATAGATGCCTTCATGCAGATTAATGAAGGAGATGGTGCTTTCTACGGTCCAAAAATTGATATTGGTGTGTTTGATGCCCTTAAGAGGAAATTTCAATGTGCAACCTTACAGGTTCGCTTGAATGTTATTCTATCATTGTATAATTAAAATAACCATTTGTCTAACCTTATATTATCTGTTACAGCTGGATTTTCAGCTGCCCATTCGGTTCAAGCTGGCTTATTCTGCTAAGGATGAAGCAAAAATTGAAAGGCCTGTGATGATACACAGGGCAATCCTAGGTTCTGTTGAAAGGATGTTTGCCATTCTTTTGGAGCATTACAATGGTAAATGGCCCTTATGGCTAAGCCCTCGCCAGACCATTGTTTGCTCGGTATCTTCTGGTTCAGTGGAATATGCAAAACAGGTAAATGGTCCTTGTATCTAAAAAAAAAACTGACTTGACTTAATAGTTCTCTGAGGTGGCTGGCATTAAAAAAACTTCTGTCGAGTTATATTCCACTTTGTGGTCCTTACCAGTTGTGTGGTATTTTAGATGATTCTTTGCAGTTAGCGGTGTGAAATTGCTTAGTTTTTGTCTCTAATTCAAACAACAAATGTTTATTTTCTTTGAGTTGGTTGATGAGTTCAGATGTATGATGTATCCTTTAATGTAGCTCTGTTACCTTTTATAGCTTACCATACTATCCTTATGGATTAATGTTATATGTGTTCCCTTTTACCACTTTAGGCAAAATTGGGGCTTGCTCTGATGATCCTTTTGTTTCTGATACCAGGTTCTTGCCACGCTACATGAAGCTGGTTTCCATGTTGATATTGACGTGAGTGACAGGACAATACAAAAGAAGGTACTTCCCAGTTACCATGCTCTTTTAGGCTTTTGCATCGTTTATTTTAATTTTTTATTCTTATGTTTGTTTGCTCGTCCTTTCTTATACAAAAGTTCTCAATCACAAAAGACGGAATTGCATGTAGCCAATCTGTGAGACTATCATGTCATTTGTCTTGTTTTGCTGTTTATTAAAGTAGCGTGGTCCATCCCAATAAATCTTGCAGGTACGGGAAGCCCAAGTAGCCCAATTCAACTACATTCTTGTCGTAGGTGCACAAGAGGCCGAGACTGGAAATGTAAGTCCTCTTTACCTCAGTGCCATTTTTTTTTCTTCTACATACCGTGTACTTGTGTATATAGTTGGCCATGCAGCCCGAGCCCGTCGGCCCGGCCCAAGGCCCGTTTTTTTTTGCCCGGACCAAGCACGGCCCGGCCCGGCAGCTAGCGGTCCCGGGCTGGCCCGGCACGGAGGAGCAGGCCGTGCCTGGGCCTTACCCCAGGCACGTGGGCCGACACGGCATGGCCCGCTCCTGTACCGCAGGCCCGCTAGCCGCCCGACCTCCCCCTCCTCACTCCTCCTCCCCTCCCCATGGCCCAACGCAGCCCACGCGCTCCCTGCAGTCCCCGGCCCACCTCCCCCCTCATATATAAGCGGGCACGCCCGCGGCGGCTCTCCCTCACGCCTCACCCCGAACCCTAGCGCCGGCGCCGCGGACGCCCCCTCCCCTTCCCTCACGCGACCTCTCCTCTCCTCGCAGCGCCGATGGCCGAGCGCGGACGCCGACGCCCCCCTCCCCTCCCTCTCCTCGAGCGACGCCATTGCGGGAGCGAGCGCGCCGGCCCCGAGCTCCGCCCCGACGCAAATCCGGTGCCAAGACAAGCTCGCTGGCGGGCGGCAGCCACTGCCATCTCTGGCCTCGTGCTGCCTCCTTCCTCGATCCTGTCGTCCTCCTCACCATCCCTCGCCTCCGCGGCGGCGCTGGATCTCCGCCGTGGATCTAGCCACGCTGGGTCTTCTCCACCGTGGATCCGGCTCCCCACCCTTGCCTCGACGCTAGCGCGGCACCTCCTCCCCGTCCCTGCCTCCCTCACTCACTCACTCTCCCTCGGCGGCGTGCGGCTAGGAGCGCGCAGGCGGGCAGATCCGGCGACTCCCTCCCTTCCTTGTTTTCTCTCCTCTCCATCTCGCTCACCCCCTCTTCATCTCCTCCTCTCCATCGCTTGAGGGAGGGCGCCGCCTGCGCAGCTCCTACCCCCGAGATCCGAGCTCCGCCGCTCCCAGCCCCAGCGGCCACCTCCTCCTCGCCTCCCCACGCGGCCGCTCAGTGGGCCTCGGGCTGGCACGGCCTGTAAAAATGGATGTGCTTCTCGGGCCGGCCCAACACAGAAAACGGCCCATAGTGTCGTGCCTGGGCCGAAGGCCAGGGCCATGGCCCTGTGAGGCACGGCCCGGGAGGCCCGGCGTGCCGTGCCGGCCCGACCCTTATTGGGTCGTGCTTTCACGGGCCTGGTCTGGGCCGGGCCGGCCCGTTGGCCATCTATACTTGTGTACCAGTATCACCCTCAGATATATTGATCCACGCAAAATAGATTTGATTACTTGCTGTTTCACGTGGATCCTTTGTGTATTGCAGGTCTGCGTTAGGGTAAGAGACAATGCCGACCTGGCCACAATGAGCATTGATGGCCTCATCACACGTTTCAGGGAGGAAATTGGAGCCTTCAGATGATTTTGAATTTTGATGCTGCATAATTTCCTAGTACTTTGCAATCGTTGACTGCTCATTTGTGATTTTGACTGAGTTTTTAGGGAACAGTACTGAGATCCTCCAAGGCTCCAAGTGTATTCTTGTTGGTATGGTTGGGAGCTACTAAAAGTTTTCATTTGTTGTTAAATACTACCTATAGTAAAAACTACTTGTTGTATTTGACTTTGCATGGTCTTAAATATATATCTTGACTAATTTCTTCTGTAATACAATCTTAAAATGATGAGACTTTGCAAGTATTTTAATACAATTCGTCATATACAACTTACACGTTCTTAAACTGAAGAATTTGTTTTTTTGGAAATATTCATGTTTGTATAGTTTTAAAGGTTTGATGGTATATAAAATTTTCCTGACCGGAAGGAGTATATTAGTTTCTTGGCCGGAAGCAATATATTAGTTTTATGGTAATGCTCGGGGGCGGGCCTGATTGACGCCGCGTCTTCTTTCGGCCTCTTGACTATCGCCCAACAAGCCCACCTCATCCTCTCTCTGGCTCCGTTAAACCATTTGAAAAAAAACAAGTCAAAACACTGTTCCGGCTGATTTTTTGTGAGAGAAAAATATTGTTCCACCTAAAAAAGACGAATTATAAGAGAAACGAACAGGGCCGTACGTCTCCCACATCTCTCTCTAAAATATCTCCCTACTTGCTCGTCTATCGCACCCTTCACGACGCCCTGCGGCTGTTTGTCTACATCACTCCTTGTTCGCCGCCACAGCCATCTCCCCACACGCGCCCCCATCCTGTGTTGTTCGCTCCTAGCTCCTGCCCATCGCGCCCCCACCCATGTCTCTCACTCCTTGCTCCTGCGGTCCCACATGCTGCTTGCCTACTTGCGCCGCTCGCTCCTGCATCGTCAGGCGTGCTGCCTGCCTCTACTGGTGTTGGTGCCGTCGCGCACCTCAGGTTTGTCCCGGCGAGCCAAGGGCACCCATGAGCGTGGCCTATGCTGGTGGTGCTCGCGCACTGCCGCTCGCCGCCGACTCCCACCTTGAGGCCAAAATCAACCGGCCCCGGTCTCCCCTCCCATATGTTGCAAATATATATTTTAAGTGTTTCATATGTTTCAGATGTATATGTTGCTAAGTGTTTTATATGGATGTTGCAAAAGTAGATCGGGATGTTGCAAGTGTTTCAGAGGAAGCGTTTGTTCAAAATGTTTCATCTGTTTCAGACGTATGTTGCAAGCGTTTTTATCTGAATATTGCACATGTTTCACACATATGTTGCAAGAGTATGTTCGAAATGTTTCAGTTGTTTCAGTCTTATGTTGCAATATGTGTTTTCATGTTGCAATTTGCAAGCGTTTTATCTGGATGTTGCATATGTTTCACACACATGTTGCAATTGTATGTTTCAAAATTTTCATCTGCTTTAGACGTATGTTTCATACAAGTGTTTCATGTTCCAGAGGTAGAGAGTCATGGGGGAATAGCTCGCGCGTCGGGGGATGGGGCGTGGCTAGCCATGGACCGGTAGTCGGGGCGCACAACGCACCTAGGATCCTGCATACGGGGCATGCTCGTCCTCATGCCGGCTCTCGGGTCCCGCCCACGTATAGAGAGAGAGATGAGGGGGTCAGGTTGAAGGAGTGGCGGGCGCGCAGACGTCCAGACTCGCGGTCGTGGAGAGAGGAGGGGGCCAGGGAGAAGGAGTGGTGGACGTGCGTGACAGAGGTGGCGCGGACGTACGGACACGTGCTTATTAACTCTAGATCGTCCAACATGATATGCAGGAAGCTTCAAGTCTTTATAAATACCATTGTTCAATGTTTAGTCTGCGCAGCTAAGCAATTTTTCTTTAAACACGGTCTGTCCAATAATCTATACTTTCATCCTACCCACTGTGAGCATCTCTACTAGTGTAATAAAAAGCCCAAAAAACATGGCTTTAGCCTTTAGCTAGTTGTAAAAATGTGTATTGTGTGAAAAAAATAGTTCTTTCAATAGCATGGTGGAGTCCCTTTGACAGGGCTCCTCCGCACAAGCTCCGCTGATGGAGTGTCGGTGTCCGAACACTCGACCAGAGCAAAAAAAAAAAAAAAAAAAACAACTTCGGTCATGTTTAGTTCCCCCAATTTCAGAGTTTGACACTATGCAAAAAGAAGATTTCCCGTCACATTAAACTTGCGGTACATATATAGAGTAATAAATGTTGACGAAATTTAAAACTAATTGCACAGTTTGGTTGTATTTTGCGAGACGAACGTTTTGAGCCTAATTAGTCAACGATTGGACAATTATTACCAAGTAAAAACAAAATGGTACTGTAGCTACAGTACCTGATGAAATCAAAAACTAATTACACAGTTTTGTTGTACATTATGAGACGAACGTTTTGAGCATAATTAGTCAACGATTAAACAATTATTAACAAATAAAAACAAAACGTCACTGTAGCTAAATTTCATCGGCGCCAAATCTGCCGAACTAAACACGGCCTTCGTCTGTATATGGTCGAAATGGCTTCGGCTCCTCTTCCAAGGGTGCTGAAAAGCTTAAGGCCTTGTTTAGATTAGGTTATGAATCAGTATTTGGCATTGTAACACTTTCGTTTGTATTTGATAATTATTGTCCAATCATGTTCTAACTAGGCTCAAAAGATTCGTCTCATAATTTACAATCAAACTGTGTAATTAGTTATTTTTTTTATCTATAATATTCGGGTCCAAAAATTTAATGTGATGAAGAGAGAGTGAAAAAACTTGCAATCTAAACAAGGCCCAAGTCTCTGTTGTCTGGCGCGGATCTTCCGGCTCTGGTAACTCTGTGACTGTTACTGCGAACCCCATACCACAACAATGTATCTCTGCCACTGCTGTCGTACTCTAGAAATTTTGTCCAGCTCTGATGCTGAGGGCAACACATCCCAGACCGTTATGTTCTTGTTGCATGCAAGTCTGTAGAAGTTCAACGCCATGTCCATTGGTGTTCCTCCATCAAACAAAAAGCATCTCCAGCAGTATTATTTAAAACACACCTATACTTTTTTTTTGTTTAGGTAACTGCATATTTTCATACTACTCATATTGTTGTTTGCTCCATTAGCACTATCTAAAACTAATCCCCTAAATTCATCATTGCAGATGATGACATATGGGTCCCCTATGTGTTCTTCTTGCCATGGATGGAACCGAGATGCAGGCCACCGCGCCGGGGACTGCTGGGAGCTCGAGAGTGGCCGGGAGGGCCGGGGAGGCACTGCCGGTCGGAGGAGGGCCGCGCCAGGGATGTGCCACCGAGGAAGGACGCCGGGAAGCTCACACGGGCTGGCCGAGGACCTCGCCCACGGGAGCACTGAAAGCTCTAGTTTGGTTTTGGTGAATTTATGAAACCCTAAGTGCTAACCTAGTTTATCAAGTGATCATGAGATAAGTAGCACATTCCAAGTGGTGAAGCAAATGAAGATCATGACATGATGATGGTGAGTCCATGCTGATGATCAAGTGCTTGGACTTGAAAAGAAGAAGGAGAAAAACAAAAGGCTCAAGACAAATATATAAGTTGTAGAAGCTATTTTATTTCGGTGATCAAGACACTTAGCGAGTGTGATCACATTTAGGATCGATAACCGTACTATTAAGAGAGGTGAAACTCGTATCGAAATGCGGTTATCAAAGTGTCACTAGATGCTCTAACTCATTGTATGTGCATTTAGGATCTAGTGGAGTGCTAACACCCTTGAAAATATTTATGAAAATATGCTAACACATGTGCACAAGGTGATACACTTGGTGGTTGGCATATTTGAGCAAGGGTTAGGAACTTCACCGGTGGAGTGTCCGCCCGTAGAGTGCGAACAGCCCGACGGTGTCACCGGCGCTCTATATAGAAAAGACGGAGGTCACTGTAAGTGACTGGACGCTGGTTTCGGTAGGACCGACACGTCCGGTCAGTGGCAGCAGTGAGCGTGCGGTTTCGGTCTTCTGACCGGACGCTCAGGGCCTGAGTCCGGTCAGTATGATGTATGATGACATATGCAGCGCACAGGGGAGACGTTGAGTGACCGGACGCTGAGTGAGTCCGGTCGGGCATGACCGGACGCGTCTGATCATGATTTTTTGTTTCTGGATGTTTACTGGAAATGACCGGACGCTGGTGTCCTGCATCCGGTCACTTCTAAGCAGCGCGTCCGGTCACAACTTAAATGTACTGATGACCGTTGAGATCGGACGATCAGTGTTTGAAGAAGGGGACACGTGGTGTGCATCGCGCGACCGGACGTTGAGATCCAGCGTCCGATCAATCTGACCGGAGCATTCGGTCGTCCCATTTTTCAGTGGACTGAGGAACCAACGGCTCTATTTCGTGGGAGGCTTCTATTTAAGCCCCATGGCCGGCTCAAGCTCTCTCTTGGCCATTTACATTGATATAACAACCTTGTGAGCTTAGCCAAAGCCCTCCCACTTATCTCCATCATTGATTTATCATCTTTGTGAGATTAGGAGAGAATCCAAGTGTATTGCTTGAGTGATTGCATTTAGAGGCACTTGGTGTTCGTGTTTCGCTGCGGGATTCAATTGTTACTCTTGGTGGTTGCCGCCACCTAGACGGCTTGGAGCAGCGAGGATCGTTGAGCGGAGGTTGGTGATTGTCTCCGGCTCCGATCGTGGTGATTGTGAGGGGTCTTGTGCCTTCCCCGGTGGAGCACCGAAAGGTAACTCTAGTGGATTGCTCGTGTCATTGAGTTACTTCACTTGTGGGTAGGTTCTTGCGGTGTCCAATTGTGTGGACGAGGTTCGTGCAACACCTATTAGCCGCCGAACCACCAAGTGCTGGTCGACACAACGGGGACTAGCGTGTCGGCAAGCACGTGATCATCAGGAGAAAAATTGGTTGTCTCTTGCCCTTTGGTATTCTCCTGGTGATTGATTTAGTATTCATCTTGTGATTGGTTCACTCCTTTACACGGCGGTATAATCACTCTACTCACTTATTTATATTCTTGCAAACTAGTTGTAGCAAGCTCTTTAGTGTAATTAGAATTGAGAGCTTGCTTTGTTGTTTTAAGTTCATCTAGTGGAGCTCTTTAGTGTAGCAAGTGTGAGAGCTCTTAGTGAGTAGTGACATAGCAAATTGTGTGTCTAGAGATCATAGCAACTAGAATTATTAGATAGGTGGCTTGCAACCCTTGTAGAGCTAGAGCAAGTTTGTTTTTCGCTATTTGTTATACTAATCAAATTGCTCTAGTTGATTTGTAGATTTTTTAATAGGCTATTCGCCCCCCCTCTAGCCATATTAGGACCTTTCAAGCGCACGCAAGGTGGCTGGGGAGTAGGGAGGGGCCGGGGAAGCGCCGCCGGTCGAAGGAGGGCCGCGCCGGGTGAAAGTGCAATCAAGCCTTAATTGTGGGTTTTGATGATAATGACCACGCAATTAAAGAACTAATGAGATTTATCGAGATAACAAGCAGGGAATTTATATTCGATGATGCTACACGAAACGGAGGAGCCCCCAATTACAAATATAGATGGCTTCAAACTCGAAAGAGGTTTAAGATTCTTTTATATCTTGAATTTGAGTATAGGAAAAGCCGTACTATAAAGGGGGACACAATGCTTAAGCTAAATATGCTACAAAGTGCTCAAACTACCTCAAGCATCCTCAGATTCACAGCCAAGACAGTCTGCACTTCACTATTACCCTTGCTTTCTTACATGGTGCGGGCTCCGTCTCGCCCGACCCCTTGGGTGCGGGATCTGTCTCGCCCGACCCCTTGGGTGCGAGCTCCACCTCGCCCGACCCCTTGGGTACGGGATCCGGCTCGCCCGACCCCTTGGTCGCGGGCTCCATCTCGCCAAACCCCAAGGTCACGGGATCCACCTTGCCCGACCCCAAGGTCGTGGGATCCGGCTCGCCCGACCCCAAGGTCGTGGGCTCCACCTCGCCTGACCCCAAGGTCACGGGTTCCGTCTCGCCCGACCCCTTGGGTGCGGTGTCCGTCGGGGGCTAGGGTATATATATCTTTCTCTTTCCTCGCCAACGGCTATCTGTGATTTAAAGTGACCGTTGGGGCTGGGGGTATATATACATTTCTCCTTCCTTTCCAACGGTAACGAATGAACCAACCTGCTCTCTTCTTCCTCACTTCAGCACTCTAAAAAACAGAGCAGGAGCTCTCTCTTTCTTACTCCATTATTGACCTCAAGCCCCCAAGCAAAACCATTGATCTCCCCATCAATCCTTGAGGGTTAAGGGTCCAAACTCGATTAGAGAGCAGCTCCATTGATTCCCAAACTCAAAAGAGCACTTGGTTCACGTTTTAGCCGGCGGTTGTGTTTGTTACTTTTGGAGCTTGGCTCCTAGCCGGCTAGAGCGTCGTCCGTGGAGCTTGCCAACTTGTGTGGTAGCCCCAAAAGGTTTGTAACCACCACTTGCAGCAAGTAAAATCAACCCTCATCTCAAGAGTTCACTATCTTGATTTGAGAACGAGGTAGGGTTGCAAATCCCTAAGCCTTAGTGGTGTACCTCAACAACGTGGACTTAGGCAAGCCTTGGTGGTGAGCTGAACCACGGGATAAATCCTTATGTCATCTTATTCTTGTGTTGCTACATGTGTGTTCTTGTTGTTGTTAGGGTGATTTCTAGAATTGATGCCAATCTACTTATGTGTGGTGTTCCCACCACTTTCAGCTGTCGATCTGTGATCTACCACCCTGTAGGAAGCTAAGAAATTTACCCTATCTTAAATTTCATTGGGTAGATTTTGAATTGTGAACTAATCTCTCCTGCAGGTGCGACAGTGCCGCATGGGTGAATTTGATTTCGGTTTAAGTTGAATTTTTACAGGCCTATTCACCCCCCTCTAGGCGTACCAGAGATCCTACACCGGGGAGCTCGCGTGCGGTGGCTGGGGACCTCTGTCCACAGGAGCTCGCGGGGAGGGGTCAGGGAGGCGCTGGGGGTGGTCGGGGGCGGCGATGTCGCAGGGACGAGGGGAAGAAGGCGCGTCGCAGGGAAGAAAAAGTAGGAGGAGTGGAGCAGGGGGACAACAGAAGTAGGTGATAAAGGGGAAAAGTAGGGGGGGCAACAGAAGTAGAGGATGTAGTAGGAGGCTATTAGAGTTTTGACCCCTCGCTACCCAAATTCAGAGCAGAGGGCTAAGTAGAGTGTGGTGCTGGAGAGTGGAGATGCTCTAAGTTATTGCGAGAAACTCACCCTGCTCCCCATCCCCAAGAGTGACGATGGTGCTTGCCTTGATGAGCTGCCTGTCAACGACATTACAGGGAGTGGCAGTGCCAAGCCATGCCTATCTGGGCCAGTCCATTCTGGCCATAACCACCTTAGCCTTAAGCTCTGTGCAGATCCAGGGCTAACACTCTCAATCCCCCAAATCTCGGCCTATTTTCCTGGGCCCATGAGAGCAAGCGATGTCCACTATTTGCATCGACCGATCGCCGGAGCTTTTCCAAAGGAAACTTCTTATGATCCTATCGAGTTTCGCTACGTCGTATTTGGCTTATAAGCCATGTCTTATCAGGCAATGAACAATATTTTTCTCTCACACCAAACCAGTCAATCGTACTTTCAGCCATGGCTTATAAGCCAAACCAGCCCAAACGAACGGGACGATTTTCAGTGCTATGAGTTTAGCAGTTTCAATCGACCAGCTTCGGTGAGAAGCTTCGCTTCCATATGGGCAGCTTGTCAGCCAATTTTACCCTGTTCGCTTGATCGTTTCTGTGGCTTATAAGTCGGCTGATGCTATTTTGTTGTGAGAGAAAAACACTATATCATGACTGATAAGCATGGCTGATACAATTAAGCGAACAAGGTTTGTCGATGAGTGGCAATACGTCCGGTCGCGTCAGCCCTGAGATAGGTACACAGAAAGATCTGTTGGATACTAACCACTCCATAATATCTTTCATATTAAGGTCATCACATTTGTTTGGACTTTTACTTGTTTATCAGTAACCAAAACTCCCAAAGATAGACGACATGTCCATTACAGCTTTTACGAAGTTGGCGGCACCATCAGCGTACACACTGATCCGTAGTTTTGCAGCACTGTCAGCTGTGTCAGTGTCCAGCAACCTCAACAAAGGCTTCCATGGCGAGTATGGAGAGAGCGGGGCTCCATGCCTAATAGGCTAATAATACGGCAGCACTAGCGCCCGGACGTCCAGACGCCTGTATCCGATCGGACGCCCGTGGCTGCTCCATCCCGTCTGTTCGGATTCGTGCGTCATCCACGCCAGCTCCGTTTTCCACACTCATATTCGAACCGTCCGCTTCAGATCCGCTGCCCACGTTGCTCTGATGACTCGCCCTTGCCTCTTCCACACCGGCGCGGTGCCTGTCTCTTCTAGGCCGTCTGGAAGACTCGCCCCCCCCCCCGCCTCTTCCACAACAGCACCGCGCGCCCTGTGCCTCCTCCCCACACTGCCGACGGCAGCTTGCGCCTCCTCCACGCGTTGGTGGTCGCGGCTTGGCTTTGCCCACCCTCGTGGACACCAACGTCAACGGGCTGCACTTGCAACATGAAACACTCGAATGCAACATACATTTGAAACGGATGAAACATTTGGGACATACGCTTGCAACATGTGTGTGAAACATATGCAACATCAAGATAAAACACTTGTAACATGAAAAAACACTTGCTGCAATATAAGACTAAAACAACATAAACATTTGGAATATACTATTGCAACATATGTGTGAAAACATATGCAACATCCAGATAAAAAACGATTGCAACATACGTCTGAAAACAGATGAAATATTTTGAACAAACGCTTGCAACATGTGCAACATCCCCTGATCTACTTTCGCAACATTCATAAGAAACAACTGCAACATACCGTTGAAACGACAGAAACATACATTTGCAACATAGGGGAGGAGAAGCCTGGGCCGGTCAATTCCAGCTATCGGGGTCGGAGCCGGCGGCGAGCGGCGGCGCACGAGCATCACTATCACCCCCCGCGTTCGTGGGTGCCCTTGGCTCGGCCGGGAAAGACTTGAGGCGCCACAACACATGTGCCCCAGCGGCCATAGCGGGGTCAGCGGCGTGCGCGATGGCGATGGGAGACGGACAGACGGACAGCCGGCGAGGGAGCAAGCGGCACAGGTGTCTGGGTCGGCGCGCGTGTGCGGCCGGTGATGGGGCGCGGGGTGGTGGGGCACGACGCGGCAGCCAATGAGCGCGCGGTGGGGAAAGGGCCGTGGACAATGAGCGGCCACGTTGCTTCAAGGCCGGCCGGATAAGCATGAAGGAGTGGGGGAGGGGGCGGATAAGCACGAGGGAGTGGGGGATTTTGTTTTTTGTTTAGGATCTACTCCTGAGGAGCCGCATTGGGACCGCGGGGGGGGGGTTAAGAAGAAGGGAATAGGGGATTTTGTTTTTTGCTTGGGGCCCGCTCCTAAGGAGCCGCGTCGGGACGGGAGTCATGGACGGACGCTCGAGTTGGATCATTATCGCTAATAACAAGTAATAACCCTACGATGTTTAATCCGCTTCCCTCTAGTTCCGTTGGATAGAAAATGCACCACACATCCTTTATACACAGGAATGCCATCTAGCAACAATGACTGAACATATACACATGGACATGAGGGCTGGCTTACTAGATTTCAAAAGGCCAGCTTATTAACCAAAGATAAAGATAATTACATGTAAAAATAATGCAGTGGGACTGAGGCATATTTACAGGGAACAGGACACGTTCAGAACCAGCAGATGCAGTCTCATACGAATCACAATCTACCGCCCAATGCTCATCTGATGCAGTCACATAAACAAGGCCACCTTATCTCTCAGGCTGCTCTTCTTCTTTGTCACAGGTTCGCCCAGCTTTGGTAATTCGCTACGCCAGTCTTTCTTCTCTGGCACATGATTTATAGTCGTAGTCATTGATTCTACAGGCTCTGATTTCTTCACAGATTCCTCCTGCCTTGGTACTTTGCTATGCCAGCCTTTCTCCTCTGGTACCTGATTTATAGTTCTAGTCATTGATTCTACAGGATCAGATTTCTTTGTGTTGCCAGCAGGTTTACTCAATAGATGACCGAATAACAGGTTTATCATATCCTGTGCAACATCTTCTGTCGTTTTGATACTTGACGGACACTCCACCTCTTGATGCGTAGTGTTCTCGTCTTCTGTATACTCGATTGCTCTTATATTTCTTGTGACTGTTGTGCACTGCATCAATCCTTTCACTGATCGATCATTTACTACTGACTGTCCTGTATCTGCCTCAGTGGAAATTGTAGGGCACAGAAGATGCTCTTTCTGTCTGGTAGCCTTCACAGTTTCAAGTTCACATTGTTTCTGTTTATCAGCATTAACAAACTGCAAACGAAAATGCATCAATATAAATTCACTTGTTAGAATAGTTTACACTCATCTTATTAGAAAGGGAAACGGCAAGGTTTAACTTATGATAAGACAAGCAGCTTAAGAATTAGGCAAGCCAAGAAGGCTATACTGTAACAGTTTTCATTGTGACACTCAATATTAACACACGAATATAAGCCTCATACTCAATATTACTAATGGTGTATCTTAAAAAACCACTACATAACACTCCAAGATGTAAAGTGTGAATTAGTGTCAAACCACTTAAACAGTACGGTTTACCTCTTCAGCTATGCTCACAAGATCCTCAACAGTAAGCTCTATGTCATCATCAATTGATACTGGTGATGATGGTTCTGATTCGACATTATCCAGCTTCCGTTTCCTGCTATTCTTTGGAGCAGCTCTTCCACTAGCTTTTCTTACATTCTTACTCTTTACTTCCACATTTTCTTCAACTTCATCTTTGACAGCATCCTTGCTCTTTCTTCTGGCCTTTTCTCTACCCTCACATCGCCGCAAAGCTCCCAGTTCACCAGCAGCCTCTGAATCCAAGCTTTTTAACGGCCTTCTGTTGTTCCTTTTGATGGGCTTGCTCTGATTAAGAGCCCCAATTTGCTCATCAGATTCCAGTGCCTGCTTATTCTGATCTTCGGTCTTTGCCACTTGATTACCTGAGGTTGCTTTCAACATCCATGCTGGGAGACTGCGCTTATTCCCAGAATTCGAAACAGTACACGATTCTGCCATATCATGAGACAAAAACAGAATGTGCCCACAGCACAATCACAGAGCTTCAACTGCAAAATATAAACTGTCACAGATTTATGGCGTCTTATAAAGACGTTGCAAATTCGTCGGCCACCTGAACAGGAATTGTAGGACACGATTAGTACCGAATCCCCAATCACACAGGAAAGAACAATGGAAAAATAGCTTCTTGATAACCAGGGGCGGAGCCAGTAAAGGGACATGGATGTACACATGCACACCCGATAATTTTTGCAAAAAATTCGAAGTTAGTAGGGATCAAATAACCAAATAGCTTTAAGTTAGGGTTTGCCGGTTTGGGAAGAGAAGGGGTGGTGGTGGGTGCTCGCCGCAGGCTGAGAGACCGACGAAGGCCTCGGCACCTGGGGCGGCGGCGGCGGTAGCCCACCCAGGCGTCGCAGAGGGAGGGAGAGAGAGAGAGAGAGAGAGAGAGAGAGGGCACAAGCGGGGCGACGAAGGCCTCGGCACCTGGCGGCGGAGGGAGAGAGAGCGCACGCGGGCTTCTCCTGTGGGCTGGGCCCGCTGGGGCCGTTTTTCTCTTTTCATGTTTTTCTTTTACAATTTCTCTTTTTATTTCTTTCTTTGACTCAGGTAAGGAATATTACGTTTTGGGGTTTAGGCGTCGGGAACGGCAGACTTGCTTTTTATTTTTTTTACTAGAAAATATATTCTTACGTTGCTATGGATGAATGCCACATTGACATTGACATATTTTTTGAACTTACAAAATATTGTGCAGAAAGGCCAACACACTCGAACACATAAGAATAACACCATTAAGGCATCGACCAATCACTATTTGTGTATGCAATATATTAATTCTTCTTTTACAAGAATGTTACAATGTTTTCATTAGAACATTATACTGGCTCATAAGAGTTTCATGATGGTGCCCACAATCATGCCTCTCCATAATCAGCCTGTTCGGGAGGCCGTAAACGATCGTGGATTATTTACTGCTAGCTAGTTTGGTGTGAGAAAAAAAATACTGTTCCGGCTGAAAATTTACGATCGTTTACGACCAAGCGAACAGGCTATATCAGCAACAAAACATTTGTTTTTATAACTACTGAAGTTTTACAAGTCAATTGAACATGGACAATGGTTTTCTAATCTCTGACGAGGCCCCGATATATAGCATCCAACGTTATGTACACGACCATTGCTTGCCACCTACACCCAACCACCGCATCTTCATCAGTTCTGCCAAAACAGTTTCAAAGCCATCAATTCATAAATACAGAACATGGCATGGAGCAGGAAGCGACCTCACCTCTGGTGAAGATGTAGATGGGCTTGTCCCGTAGCTGGAAGATGATGAGATCAACTATGGCTTTAATCCAGCACATTCATTCAAGCCTATGGATAAAAACGGTACGGATATTTATTCGACCGTCCGTTCGATCGAACAAATATGAACACTTATCTGGATAGTTACTCGGATATCCGTTTTTTTTTCGGATACGGATACTAAAACGGATATCTTAGGCGGATATCAAATACGGATGTAATATCATCGATATCCGGCGGATATCGGATAATCCGGATAAGTATCGGATATATCCGGATATTTAAAAACGGATATTATCCGGATATTTATTTAAAATTTAAAAATCATAAATTTGAACCATCCAAACTATCTTAAATGGAAAGTTGACCAAAACAACAATTGTAGATCTTGATGAGTTGAACAAACTTGGTATTCAAAACTTTTCAATTTGAAGTCATTTAGAGTTCATAATACTAGAGTCAAAGTGTTGTTTTTTCATTTGACCAAATTTGACTTGGTCAAACTTGCTCAAATGAGATACTAAATGACCTCAGATGAAAAAACTCTGAATACCAAGTTTGATCATCTCAGCAAGATCTACAATTGTTACATAGCTCATTTTCCCATTTGAGAAAGTTTTATCAAACACTAGTCATAAATTCTTGAATCTCATATAGACTTTCTGAAACTATGTCACACACTTGTGAAATTTAAACTATATTTTGTTCAAACTTTCTCAAATGAAAAATGGCCTATATAAGGATTTTATATCTTGATGAGATGAACAAATTTGGTATTCAAAACGTTTCAATTTGAGACAATCTAGGGTTCCGAAAACTAGTTTGTAAACGTCGAAATTTAAAAATCACAAATTTGAACCGTCCAAACTATCTCAAATGGAAAGTTGACCAAAACAAAAATTGTAGATCTTGATGAGTTGAACAAACTTGGTATTCAAAACTTTTCAATTTGAAGTCATTTAGAGTTCATAATACTAGAGTCAAAGTGTTGTTTTTTCATTTGACCAAATTTGACTTGGTCAAACTTGCTCAAATGAGACACTAAATGACCTCAGATGAAAAAACTCTGAATACCAAGTTTGATCATCTCAGCAAGATATACAATTTTTACATAGCTCATTTTCCCATTTGAGAAAGTTTTATCAAACACTAGTCACAAATTCTTGAATCTCATATAGACTTTCGAAACTATGTCACACAATTGTGAAATTTGAACTACATTTTGTTCAAACTTTCTCAAATGAAAAAAATAGCCTATATAAGGATTGTAGATCTTGATGAGCTGAACAAACTTGGTATTCAAAACTTTTCAATTTGAGACAATCTAGGGTTCAAAACTAGTTTGTAAGCATTGAAATTTAAAAATCACAAATTTGAATCCAAACTATCTCAAATGGAAAGTTGACCAAAACAAGAATTGTAGATCTTGATGAGTTGAACAAACTTGGTATTCAAAACTTTTAAATTTGAAGTCATTTAGAGTTCATAATACTAGAGTTAAAAAGTTGTTTTTCATTTGACCAAATTTGACTTGGTCAAACTTGCTCAAATGAGACACTAAATGACCTCAGATGAAAAAACTCTGAATACCAAGTTTGATCATCTCAGCAAGATATACAATTGTTACATAGCTCATTTTCCCATTTGAGAAAGTTTTATCAAACACTAGTCACAAATTCTTAAATCTCATACGCACTTTCTAAAACTATGTCACACACTTGTGAAATTTGAACTACATTTTGTTCAAACTTTCTCAAAATGAAAAAATGGCCTATATAAGGATTGTAGATCTTGAATCCATGACCATGACTCCATGAGACCCATGAAGCAATGTGCTTGGCTATTTCTACTCATGCCGCCAAGATTGGTGCTTATATGATGTTTGATGTATGATGTATCTCAGATCTTTATCTTATTTGTTACTTTACTCTTTAGTCTTTCGGCTTAATCTAGATGGATTATGGACTCATAGAGTGGTGTAATGGTTTGCATGCGTATGATATATATATATATATGCCGCTTTTACTCAATATCCGAATAGATATTTGTATCCGACCTTCTCCGAATCCGATTCATACCGTATTCGATACTCATTATTCGTATCCGTAACCGAGTCAATCCGTATTCGTATATGTATCCGAACGCTATCCGTGTCCGAATCCGAATCCGAACAGAAATATGAAAACAAATATAATATGAGTGATATCCGTTCGTATCCGATCCGTTTTCATCCCTAATCAAGCCCAACTGCAAGCCACTCACCTGTGTCCCGCCCTTCAGCCTTCTATAACCCCAGTCACTCATGTCTCCCCGCATCCTCGTCGTTCCCCAAACCGTGTGCAATTTGAAGAAGTATGGAATGCAATGTGAATCACTTAGGTCCTGTTTGGTTCGGTTTTTGAACCTGCTTTTTCTTTTGCTTTTGCAAAAGTCAAAAGCCAACCAAAGAGCCCAAAAGCTACATCTGTTTTTTCCAAAAGCAACTTTTGCTCTAGGACAAAACTGAAAGCAACTCTCCCCCGCTTTCAGTTGTTTTTAGAAACTATTGGTGATGAGGTTAAAATGTTGCAAAACAAGATTTTTTTAGATTATTCTTTGGTACTGTTGAGATGCTCTTAGACCCCTTTGGAAAAAGGAAAAGAATAATAATTTTAGAGGTTTTTTTAATCCTATAGGAAAAATTGCAATATGTTCCTTTGAAACAAAGGATTAAACCCTATGAAGTTCCTTTGTATTTCAATAGGGCGTATAAAACTACAGAAATTTTGGAGGAAAGCTAGTATGAGGTTAGATCTTATGGAAACTTTTGTCTCTCTCTCTCTCTCTCTCTCTCTCTCTCTCTCTCTCTCTTAAAATTCCTACATTTTCCTTGCTGCATCCAGAAGATCATAATATAAACTTTCATGTATTTTGAATCATGTATGATTGTTAGTTTCATGCAACTTCAATCATGTGTTCTTCCCATTCATATATTTTGAGAATCCTACGTTCCAAAGAGTTACATAGTGTGCTTGTTTCATTTTTATTTTAGTGGAAATGATTAAGTTCATATGGGAGTGTTATCCTAACGCTAAATGGTAAATATTTAGTCACTTGCCATTTAGTTATTATTCGGGCTAAACATCCATTTAACACAAACAAAGCGGCCATTTAAACGAGATAAACGGAATGTACCACCGTTTAGTATTTAAACGGTCGTGTAGTATCATCCAAATTGTTTGAATTTGTAGTTTTTAACAATGTTTCTTAGTCTGTACCTATAATTTTGAGTTATCATGCATGCTCCATAGTCTCAGCTGATATGATGCGTTTGATTGCATGCTTAGAAAGTGAAGGTGAAAAAGCAACTATAACAAGGAGAGGCTGATGTCTTGCACTCTGTTGTCTCGTATCACCGGGAAAATTATGATGTAGCGGCAGCTGTTTTTTTTTATGCAATGTAGCGGCAATTGTTGGTCACTGACCAACGGCAAAGGTGGGTTAGCGGGAGGCGGCTACAATCGGACCTCGTCTAGTAAGTTTAGAGAGACCACTGTTGTTTATTCTGTGGCTGCGTGGATTTGGAAACAGTCACAGTAATGACTGTTTACACGGTCCATCCAAACAAGAGCGGTCCTTGATGTACAATGACTGTCAATATACAAGTAGTAGGAGAATGGTTGCGCTTTACAACTTTACAAGCAACTTGA